GGATCTTTTATGGATTCTTCAGATCCATAGAAGTCAATTAGTGAATTTGTAGGATCCAAAGTTATCATTCTTAAAATTAACATGAGTTTTGTGTTACGTGGGTTTAATCCCTTAAAAAGAGATGAACCAGGGTCTTTACTTGGTCTGATATTGTGCTAAAAACTAAGGACTTGATCCCTTGTCCAAACCATTCTCTTTTTCCCAGGGCTTCTGTATTTAGCAAATGTACTAATTATTCCTCAATCCTTACTTGTGATGGACACATATTGTCCTGGACACCTATTGTCCTAACCAAATTGTACTCCTGGAAATCCTTATTCCACAAGGTCAGAGGACGGACCTCCAGCCACCCTGTTGTTCAAAATAACCCAACCCCCTTGACTAATATTGAATTTTCCAAGAGCATGTTCTTCAGTAAAGCAGGATAAATTTTTTTGTGTGTTTTGAATTTGTAAACTAGTATGAAAAAAAGTCATATTGGTTCTTCCCAGTGTGGTTGGAGGGCTGACATCTGAATCTATAATCTTCTAATTCATATGAGATCTAAGAAATGAAGAAGAAAATTTGTAATAAGTGAGAGTAATGAGGCCGACAATGTGGAAAAAGATATGAGTTGTCAAATCAGCCACTTCACAGTTCCAAGACTTCATTTCAGTTTGTTTCTGAGAAATTCCTGTGTTCTTGTTTTGAGGGTCTATGGGACATACATTTAGCCTTAGATAAATTCCCCTTTGGATTAAGCTAACTGTATTTAGTTTTGGTATTTCTTTCCAACCTACTGTATCATCTGTTTCCTAAGTTTGGTCCATGACGAGTTTGTGCACTAAGATTGGCTAATATTTAACACTGTGGTTTGGCTGCTGGCACAGAGATATACAGCTGAATCCTGTGGCTCCGTAGGCTGGATCTCCAGGCTGCAGGGTGAGTTTGGGAGGCACTCGGCTGAAAATCTCTCCTTGGGCATCCCTGTTTTATCAAAGATATTTTTATTCTGGAAGGAAATCAAGAACTTGAATTCTTTTGCCAAGATCTGTTGATACCAGAAAACATAACTATGTCCTTTTACTGGGACACAATACATTTTTACTTTCTGTCCTTTCCCTTTGACCAGATGCCCTGGAATCTGGGTGACTTTTTCATCAAGAAAGCCTGTAAAGAAAGGGAACAGAGGTTGGAGACTGAGCCCATGAGGGAGTCTGATGACATGGACAAAAGGCTTGGAGCAGGAGGCTGACAATTTCAGAGCCGGGACATACCTGCAGCCAGGAGACAAAGGACAATGAAGCAGGTAAATTTTGGCCACATGGCAGAATTAGGGAAAGAGCAGAGGCAGGAGGCTTTCTTTGAGGCTTTCCCTGCCTCTATAAGCAGCGTCTCTGTGACGTGATCACTTTGTAGAATCCAATCATCTCGGGTGTCCTACTCTGTACAAGTAACAAAAATAGAACATATGAAACAACTGTATTCAGACATTGGAAAACAGGCAGCACTGGACTGTGATTCTACTAAAGCAAGAAAAAATGGAGCAATCTTCACATAGGGAGTAGGGGAAACAGAGCATGGAAACATTCAAGTTGAGAAGACAGAGGTTACAGATTAGAAGGGGCCAAGGTAGCTAGAATTTGTGAGGAAGACTACCAGAGACTGAGAAGATACACAAAGAACTCCAGATACCTTCATAGGGATCACCTTAAATTTTTGGCTAAACTGTGATCTGAGTCTGTGCAGGATGAAACTTAAGAATGCATTAGAGAGGAATCCCAGAAAGGATTCACCAGCACCGCAGAATAGCCATGCTTTAGTAGTAGAATAAAATTAGGCTAGTGTAGGAGTTGGCAAACTATAGCCCACAGGCTGACCACCTGTTTCTACAAACATTTTATGTGGGCGGAGAAGCACTTTCAGTATGGCAGCCTGAGGAGCTTTGAACATCCTGTTCCCAGAGAAAAAACATAACTGCTGAAAAATTAAAAACGACCATTTGAGGTTTCTGAGAATTGTCCTAAGGACATACCACAAATGGAGGAATATTTATGTTGGTAAGAGCAACAAGAATCTGTGGCATTTGAGCCATGACCCTCTGCCTCCAATAGCACCCCAAGGCTCAGTGTGACAGAAGCCCCACTGCACGTGGGTGTGGTCGAGAACATGGTGACACTTCTGTCCCCAACTCCCAGTCTAGAGCTGCAGTCTTTCCCTGGGAGAAGCAGCTGTTAGGATTTCTCCTCCCCACCAGTTCCATGTTGGAGAAACTCTATTCCTGGTAAGCACAGCCGAGAGGTCTGGGCCCCCTTCCTCCATCCAGTGGCCACTCATAGGGTGAACCCTTTATTCCAGGCACAACAGGCCAAGAATACTAGTCCCCGTTCTTCCTCCTCCCAACTTGTTTGGGAGGTGCAAGTCAAGAAGACTGGGGAATACTGCCCCACCTAAGGACCCACTCATAGACCAGGGGTGTCATTCCAACAGAAGTGGGCCACTGTCCTTGCTCCCAGCTCTGGAACAGTGGTGCAGAGGTTCTGCCAAGTGGGGAAGAGTCAGGCCATGGGAACAGAGAACTTCCTAGCTCTGCTTTGTCTTAAGGATTGTACTAACCTAGTTGAAATTTTCTTAGAATTGTACTGCAATCTAAGACCTACTTTCCTTTCTTTTCTCCTTTCCTCTGTCCTTTACAGGGGTCAGGCCTGCATTATACTCTGATGACTTTACCAGCCTCCTCCAGCTTCCTTCCATTTTCTCTCACAGGAATTTCTCTAACAAATCCCTTGCATGATTAACCCAGGCTTAACATATACTACTTCAAAGGCCTGAAATAATGCATCTTGCTTAGGTGGGTTTGGGGTCCTCAGTAGAGGTCACAGTCAGTCTCAAGCTCTGCTGAGGCAGCTGTCAATAACAAAAACCAGCTGATTCCAACAAATCCATCTGATGGCATTAGGTCTTTACAAGATGTCCTTGTTTGGTTGTTGGGGAGTGAAATTCCTGAGCATAAATGAGAGAGATTAGAGGAGGCAGCGGCTGGAATGAGGATGACTGGGACAAACAGAAACCACTCGATCCCATATCAGAGCAATCACACAGCATCTGTCCTTTGGTGTCTGGCTTATTTCTCTTAGCATGATGTCCTCAAGGTTCATATTGTCACAGATGGCAGGATCTCCTTATTTTTAAAGGCTTAAAGGTTGAATAATATTTTGTTATGTGTGTGCACGTGTGTGCGTGTGTGTGTGTGTGTGTGTGGTTGGAGTCTACGAAGTGATCATGTGGAGTCTATGGGAATAGAGTATAAGAGTGGGAGGTAGAGAGAAAAGTAGAGATTACTATAGGACTACTAGAGGAAAGTGTAAATGCAGATGGCAGTGTGAGTGCCCAGAGGGGGACTGTCTTTGCACAGGACTCCTCTGCCCTTAGAAGGCAAAGAGCTTCATAGCAGAGGAGCCTGGTGCCTTAGGCAGGCTTAGGGCAGCAGGAGGCCTTTAGTGTTGGTGCTCTGGGATTCTATCTCCAAATTATGTGTGCTTTTTCTATTTTGTCTCTATTACTAATTGCTCTCTTAAACCCTACACATAGTTGGTTGACAAGAAATTGGCAAGCTTTATAGGATCAAGGAGTAGACCTGGACTCCCAGGTAAAATAAAACGAGGTTAGTTCTTCTAGGTAGACTCATGTGTATTCAGCATTAAAAGCATACCTTAGAGATCATACAGGTGACTCCTTCATGTCTAGTCACCTATTTTTGGTGAGGAAGAAAGGAAGGAAGGAAGAGAGGAAGGAGGGGGAAATACGGGGAAGAAAGAGATAAAAATAAACTGTCTACATTTTGATACTGGCTGCACCACAAACAATGCATGGATAAAGAGCAGGTTACTTAACTTGTTTGTATCTTGGTTTTCTTATCTGTAAAATGGATGAGGTTATAATAGTACTTACCTCATGAGGTTTTCATAAAACTTATATATGCTGTAATCATGTAAAGAAAACTTAATTTCTGGTATATCACAAGTGTTTAGTAAATGTTAACTATTATTATCATTAATATCATTAAAACAATTTGTAAAAGCTCTTTTGTATTAGATTTTGTCATATATATTTTTCCTAGATTATCTTTATTTAATATACAAAATTTTACATTTTTAGATAAACTTCACATTTTCTGCTTTACTTTGGAACACGATTCTCAACAGGGATTGTAACTAAAGACAATATATAAATACATACTCCCACATGACAGTTTATGAGGCTGTAGTACGTTTTGCTCAGTACTTAGTTTTCCTTGCTGACATTTGCTGGAACTCTCCTGTGCCTCAGTAATGGCATTGTCACCCCCTTCTATACTGGTGACTTCATTATCATCATCTCCAAACATATTCTATTTTCAGTATTACTTCTTTATATACTTCTGGTTTCCATTTGGTCATGCCAATAGCACCTTTAACTCCAGGTATGAGCAGATTAATATATGAATTCTTTTTTTCTTCCTAAATGGTTTTTCCCCTGAGAGATTTTCATCTTGGGTCATTGGTACATTTATTCTCTCATTAATAAGGTAGTTGCTCCAGATCTGGACTGAAAACCTGTGGATTCTCCAGGAATATTATTACATACTATGAGTTCATCAAATCCCAGAGACTTAAGTTGATGTGACATTTGGTTTCCATAATCATTAGCATAACACTTCATGTTACTAAGACTGTAACTTAGATTAAAACAATAAAAAGAAAAAAAGAAAAGTTTCTATTTATGTACTGAAGAGAGTAGGTTCTTAAGGTCCTGGTAAAATACCACAAACTGAATTCCATAATCATTAGCATAACACTTCATGTTACTAAGACTGTAACTTAGATTAAAACAATAAAAAGAAAAAAAGAAAAATTTCTATTTATGTACTGAAGAGAGTAGGTTCTTAAGGTCCTGGTAAAATACCACAAACTGAATGTCAGACAAGTGTAACCACTTTTTCACTTTTGGCATAACTGCCAATGGCTTTTGTAGGTTTATGCTCAATTTCTGTCTACAAATGAGATAACAGCAGTCACAAGCCCACTTCCTATTGTTATAAGAAGGAAGTGGTTGGACAAGACACTTGGACCTGGGGAACAAAGAGGTTTATGAACAGACAGGAGGTAAGGCTGCAGCTCTGTGTCTTTGCTGCTGGCACACAGGTACACGGCTGAGTCCTCCACACTTGGTGAGCGGATGCCCAGAGAGCAGAAAGAGGTGTTAGGCCGGCTGGATTGGAAGTTATCAGAGGTGTCTGTCTCTTTGTTAAATTCTTTATCATAATAGTAGAACAGCAGCTTTGGAGCTTGGCTCCGCTGCTGCTGGTACCAGTACATAACATCATGATTCAGATCCTGAGAACAACTCAGGTTCACTGGTTTTCCCATCCTGGTAACCTGGTATCTTGGGTTCTGGATGACCATAGCACCCATGTGGCCTGTAGACAAAGAAGAGAAATTTAGAGTCAGAATGAAGAAGGAGATTTGTATTACTGCTATGAGTGAAAGGCACAGAACAGAGGACAAGATAGCCTCAGTAGAAGATTTCCTTTTTGCCCAGGTCTTACCTGCTCCAAAGAGGCAAAGAGCCACACAGTGGACAAGCCCAGGACCCATGGCAGGACCAGAACAGGAATGGGGCATCTGCCTGTTCCAGGCTCTGATCCTTGGGTTGAGAGGTGGGAGTTCAGAGTCACTGGTCCCTGATAGGAAGATCTGCCTGTGATGACAGCCTTGCTGTTGACTTCACCAGAGAAAGGGTCACTCCTCCTTGCAGTATTATATACAGCTTCCCACTTGGCAGGGGAGTCTGGGCTTGGCTAGATCAGGTGTGTAGCAGATGTTTATACTCTATATCATTTGCTGCCTCTTTGAGACAGGTGTACCCTTATTTTCCCTGCCCCTATCTCTGCCCTACGTTCATCCAGGCCTCTTTAGTTCACTGTACATTTTTCATATCCTATAAGGCAGCTCAGCTCCCTCCGCATGTGAACAGATTTTGCTAAAGTCTCACTTACCAACTTGTTGAGATAATGTCTTTGCATTTTCCTGCTTACATCATAAATGGATGACTAATGTCTGAAAACTATTCCTAGCTTCATATAGAAATCAAGCACAAGAATTCTTCTACATCAACTTTTCAGCGAGTATCAGGGAAATTTCCTACAAATTTAGGCTATCAATGACACCCTAATGCCTCCTTGTGGTCAACAAAAATTATCTAGAAGCAGCCTTCCTATACTGGGTCCAAGAAATCTTGCAATGGTATGAGGTACAACGCAGCTTAGAAGTGTATCTAGGTCTTCAATCTGCACCCACCAGATCTGTACCCTTTAGACCACCTTAAAGCCAGAGAGCTGAAGTGTTAAGTCTTCTATTTACTTCTCTTGTTTCTTTAGATCTAAGTCAACACATACTCATTGTAGGTGTACCTGTCTTTTCTGTACCACACCCCGAGTCCCTTCAAATGTTTGAAGAAACAGACCAGAATATTACCCTAAACATGTCCTAGTATTCATGGCTGGTGATTTTGTATGCAGTCTTCTATGGCATTGTTTTTTTTTTTTATTCAATATACTATACATTTTCTTCTTGCTTTTTTCTAAAACACTTCCTTCTTGGGGGACTCTGGCAGTTTAGCAATTCCCGAGTGGGTATACTTTCACATTCATGCACTGGTATAGAGTGAAACTCTGTTTCTACAGAGTTTGAGAAAAACTTGAGGATTTTAATGTAGCTCGTAAGACAAATTCATTTGCTGTCCCACTCTCTCATATATCCTACAATAATCCTCTTACATTCAAAGTCTTTGCATAAATCTCCTTTTTAAAAACATAATACTTTTTTGTTGTTGTTGTTTAAGAATTGATGGGTTAAAAGACTGATATTAAAAGTGGGATTAAAATAAGTTAATTTGTAGAGAATTTTTGGAATTAGATGTGGCCCTGGAGATATAAGCAATAGATGAGGAGCAAACATCATTTTATTCAATTGTGAAAATTCGAGTAAATGGCTTGAGGTGTTATATAAGTTTGGTGATGTTCCAATTAAATATTTTTAGATCCAGATATTGTGCCCACTTAAGATGATATATTTTGGGTCCTTGAAAGCTGGTATTTTAGAGTTTTATCATGGTGGATAAAGAAAAGAAGTTTGATTGAATAGTTGTATTTTTTAAAAAGACACTTTGTGTCTGTCATCTTAAATGAAAAACTTCAGCCAAAGATGGCTTTTATAGAAACAAAGAAATATACAGTCACCCTGTGATACTATTGTACAAACTTTTATTCTTATAGTTGTGTCTTTCTCAGATAGCTAGATGTTAGTTTCAGAATGTGATTAGGTACTTAGTGCATTAACTATAGAAATGCATTTCTATTTACACCATGCCAATATTTAAAAATAAATATTAGTGCCTACCTTCAGGAAAGCTGGTTACATAAAATTTGGAGTACAGAGAGATATATGGTAAATAGGGTCTGTATCCAACCTAGTTCAGGGTCTATACAAAGCAATATTTGAAAAGATGGACCTTATGCTCATGATTTATCTCAGCCGTCTTCTAGAGATTGCTGTGGTCTGTGGACCAGCAACTTTAGCAACACTTTAAATCTTATCCAAAATGCAGAGAATCTCAGGCTGTCTCCCAGACCGATTGCATCAAAATCTGTATTTTAATGAGCTCGTGATTTATATGCACATTAAAGCTTGGGAAGCACTGGACGAGGAAGATTCTTTCAGAAGTTATAAAACATATGCAGAGCAGGATATTAAGGCATATTATAAGAAATAATATAATGCATAGCTGACTCAGATAGAATTGATTGCATGATGACCTTCTTAAGGATATTGGCACGGTCCACGCCATGGTGGGGTCTTGAAAGGAATAGCTTGGGCTGCACTTTCCGAGTTGGCAAGGCCCCGGAGGGAGAGCTGCTGGCAGGGCCACAGCTACCAGCACTTGCTTTCACTGTAAAGATCTCTGCCTTGGCATAGTGGTGCGGCTTTCACTTTCTCTTTTGATGTTTTGGTCAGCGTGGCAGTTTCCTGAGTTTCCAAAAGATGCA